GCGTAGGGTGGCGCAAGGCTCCAGGTGGATAGAAATTGACTTGGCAGCGGGAAATGAAGTCACTGACGACCAAACTGGATGGCGCCGGTTTGTCTCGCCTTCTGGGCTGGAGTCCACGGAACTCCAGTTGTGCTTGGCTTCAGACTATTATAGGACATGGCTCGCAACCGACACTAGTGGCGCGTATACTGCCGTCTCCTAATCGGATTGCCTGTTTAAAGTGTGTTTGGAGCTCAGTTATTTGTTGGGTAGTGGCTAATTATAACGCGAGGTAGTAAAAGCCGCAAGGAATTTGTCTCTTTGACACCGCCTTATCTTTTCATGATAGCTAGAGGTTTGTGACACTGAATGTTTGCTTAGAGAATTAATGCTTTTAGGTAAGTCCCCCTTCTCTCCCTCTAATTGCTCTTTATTCTTTAGGTCATCACAGTTGGATGGCAGAGATGCGTTAGTTCAAATGGCTGATGTACTGCTATTGTTGTTGTGTTGTTGTTGCTGCGCAGAATACAGATTTGGGCGCATTATTGGGACTTTCAATGCCAGTCGCTACCAGCATAGCTAATACTCAGTCATAACCGTCCTCCAACGTCAGCCGTTGCATTGCTATACAAAGCAATTATCTCAAAACGAACGAGTCGTAGATTCGGCAGTCAGAGCAGTTGGTAGGACGTACGCTGCTGACATGTTCTGATGAGAAGAAACGGCCATCCAGCTCTTTTCTGATGTTGATGGAGATTTCGAAGTTTGACGAATCTCATTAGGCACTACACAAATCCATTAGTATTCAAATCATAACGCCATAAGCGGGCTAAGGCTCTGAGTCATTTTTCTCAATGACTTTTATGCGTACATCAGTAAGCTGAGGATTAGCTGCAATCCTAGATCCTTCAGTGTTCACTGCCCAGCACAAAAATTCCGAAATGTTTTGCTGATGCATGCTCAATAAGCGGTACTCGGTAAGGCGCTTGTCAAACAACACTTTTACACATTATCGGAGTAAATTCATTAGGCAAATAACCAGTAAAAACTATAAAAACGTATATGGGTGCATACACATTGGAAGTGGCGGATCGCAAATTTCATTGGGCACAGTCTAACAAGCAATCACATAATAAGTGAACTTCATCGAGACGTTGGTCAATGCTTCCGCACTTCATGGAAGAACGGAGACAAACACGGAAGATACGTAACAACCAGAAGCAATTTACAAGTAGCATTACACAGATTGGATAACCAAAGAGGGAAACTTCGTGGCTAACTACGGCAGTGATGGAAGGGACGGGATAGAGATGTTAAACGCGTGGCAAGGTGCCTCAATACGGTCAAACTTTTAGCATTTGCAAACAGGCTGGGATTGGATTGGGAAGGTTGCGATCCATCAAGTTGAAATGTGTCCACACTGAACCAGTCAGAACATTCACCATAGAACTTATTGTTGGACATGTGGCTATACATTCCATAAATGGTTTATCCACTTTCGCGGTACTCACTTCAGTACTTCATAAATGATGAATTGTTGAGTTTGATCCAGTGGTGCTGCTTATGCATTGATTACACTAAGTGATGTTATTCGCGCTGATTCATGACGTTGGTGCACATCGCAGCAAGAATGGCGTAGTGTGTCAGCAGTATAGCAGTGCATTTTTCTGATTATTTACTGCCGTACAGCTGCGAATGTGGATATTACAGCAACCGGAAACTCAAACCATGGAAGTAAGTGTTGCAGGTCAAACAGCTGAAGCCATACACTGCGAATCCTTCAACAACAGATATAAGTAGTTCAACTATTTCTGGAACCGTAATGTTTTAGTTTTCTTTTGTAAACACTTTACAGCGAATCGATGTTTGTCTTATTCTTGATTAAAGCTTTAGGGTGTCGCTACATGCGTTTGTAACTCAGGGTGGTTGTTCGATATTGGTTATATACTTGCTCCCAACCTTTGTAACAGACGCTGCTTAAGAACTTCCGTGGTGTGGTGAAGGCCTAACGCCCAGATTGCAGTTCTAGTGTGGCTATTATGTGCGAGCCCGTAACCGAACTACACTTATCTAGTCGATCAGCATTAGAATTGTTTATACAGACTTATTGCCATTAGTTACAAATACCAAAAGCTTGTCTGAGGATCCCAATTAGCAATACATATTGTAAGAGGCATTATGACGAGCCTCGCTTTGAGCGCTTCATTGCAGCCCTAGATGTGCCATCGATTGCTCCAGTCCAATATATGTGAACCAGTTCTCCAAACTTCCATTCCGTTCCTTCGTGCGTTGATTGTCTATGTTTCTTCATTCCTTCGTGTAACCCAATCCCCAAACGCTTTCCTCCCTACGCTCCCTAACATGTCTGTCATCTCGCATTTCCATGACACACACGTTTACTTTACTTCGCATTAATAATGCTTATCTGTTAACCTTTGTTCCCCACTGAATATGGTTCTTTGTTCAAGCCTCTATAGTGTCAGTATATCTGTGACTCATTTGGTGAACTTTACCGATTGATCTCCTCTCACCCTAGTGCGCACTCAGCCGTCGCGTGATCCCTTTCACCCGTCCTATACTAACATTGCTCGCTCTGAATCCAGGCTTGTCGGCTGTAAAACCGAAAGGTTGAGCTTGGAAGCGTCAGTGTTGAGGTATGTATTGTGAATAGTACTGATATCTAGTTCTGACCTAATTTTGCTTCCGATCTCGGTGAAACCGCGTCACTCGAACCTTCCAAGCGAATCTTGTCGCTCACGGACGCGACAAAGTGATACAAGCAGTCGAAAACTGTTCCCCATAACGGAATATGTCCAACATCATGCGAACCTCGAAATTCTTGTTCGAACACACACCCAAACATCCAGCAGATGTCAGAAGGTTGGCTCAGGAAAACATTGGACAGAACCACAACAAGGATAGTGGACACTCAGAGATGTGTTCGGAAAATAGGGTGTGGATTCATTGCATTCCTATATCGAGAAGACCAGACTTTAGAACCTACTTTATGCAAGCTGAAGAACTTTCACATCTAGAGTTGTTAAGAACATTATCTTCTCATTTAAAATCTCGTGACAAATATTTTGTTATACTCAAATGTGGGGTTTTCGCTTCACAATACACGTATAAAGCTGCCGTTAGTAGAAGCCGTGATTCCTTGAGATGACCTGTCTTCTGCACATATGGTAATTTGTGTGGCAGTAGAGGATAAGTTTGGCTGTCGCGTTTCAATTGCAAGTCACTACGACCACAGACGTGACCCATGGTTCCAGTATTTATGCTTCTGGATAGCAGCGTAACACGCTCATCGATATCAATGCACGTTAGCTGACGTTTAGGAACCCACCTCAGCTAATGTGCCGAAATGCAAAAAGATAATATATTAGAAAATTATACAACCAAATAGCTTCCAAGCAAGTAATATGATGTTAAATATTATATCATGCCTTTTGCATGAGGTTGGGATTGGAGGGGGAATCTAAAGGAGAAGCGAATGGATGAAGAAAATCACAACACAAACGCAATTGGGGCCGGCTCTTCGCCATATCAGCAAGTGTGTCCAACCAAACGTGTTCATCGTCCTTAGGACCCCAGTCAGGCAATCGGGATGCACCAACCGACACCAGCGTCGAAGTAAGGGTTTTCATTTCTCTCGACCAAGTCATCGCTTGGCCTCCCCTTCTCTGCTTCCAAGCGCACCCCCGACACGCAAACAATGCAGGTCGCGGGCGTCAATGTGCTGCCATGCGCAACACCGCTGATGCACTTGAGGGGTGCGCGATACCGTTGAGTCCAGAAAGGATAACATTGCCTTCTAGGGCCTTTTCCAAACATGTAGAGGACTATCTGACTTGGATAGTACTGTGAAGAAGCCCCTGTTACATACATATATGTTTTGATGTGCTTAAGCAGTGTCCCATGTTTGGCTACTTCTGAATCTACTGCATAAAAGTTATGTGCTTGATAAATAAGCACAAACTGGTTGCTCAGATGCCTCAGTTGGTGGTCTGGGTGTTCGATGAGCTCGGCAGTTTACTGCAGACGTTTCGTCATCGCTCAACGTGACGTCGTTAGTGTGCGTACATGTAGCGGAGCAGTGCTGAGCGGTACGAAGTGTATGAAGTATGATAGAAGTATGATAGAAGAAGCGAGCCGAGTATTTTTAGTGACAAAGCAAACTAACTGGTCTCTAAACCGTTCATTAAGAATGACAACACCTAGATAGTGTTTGCTCTTATCATCATCAGCAACCTTTGCACGGATATCTACCGGTTTTTGGGCAAACTGTACAAAACGTTTTCAATCACCCTCTGCTACGATTTTCAATAAATTGGCCCTACCCATTTCATCATCACACAACCAAGTTCCACTCGTTAGACCCAAAATTACCATCTCTATCCAGTAAATCGCCAAGCGTGTGAACTATTCCATCACCTCATCACCCTAATCGTCTTACCGATTTCGGAAGAGATTTATCAAAACTTATGCTCTTTTGGTCGTCACGCTTCCTGACGCCTCGTATCACGCCGCTTTGACACATACACCTGCACTGATGATGTCATCTCGAGTGGTGACGACACGTTTGCAGTCGCAATGCGGAGCTTAGCGAACACTCAAACCATCAGTTACGTGCAGTTCCATACCACTCCATGTTTCTAAGTCAGCTTAAAAGCGCCGGCCTCAAAGAGTGATCCAATGACCGGAAAACAGCTACTGCGGCATCAAATTGTGCGGATATTCAATGGCCTATTTCTAACCGCAGAAAAATGGCGCTCAGGACATTCGCGAACCAATGGTCTTCTCTAATTTTAGACAGATTTCACTAGGTAACAGAAGAGCAGTATCTTATATAAGTAGCTAGTACTTCTAAGAAAACCCGTTCACCCTTAGAACTCATAGTGCGAAACATAAAAATTGATCAGCCTGATATACAATCACTGAATGAATTTGTGCGACACCTTTTACACTGTAAATCTGGATCCTGTGTTTGTTACATATGAGCATTACACCATCCATCATACCTGTTGTGCTCCTCGATGCACTCCTGATTGAACTGCTGGTCCATCACTTGTAAGGAACAACTTGAGCGCACAACGGCTCCTTCGTTCTTTCTGTACTACGGGGTGTCGAGCTGACGATATGCCGTGCTACGTCACAGACGGAGTAGAAGGAGTGGCTGCCATTTGCATATCCGTCACAGATAGTCAGGTGAGGATCTCATCAATCGAATGTTGAAATCGATCAGTGCAGTTTAAAGCACGTACTGCACCGCGAAATTATGACTATACGTACGGAACAGATTATTTTGCTTCAGGGATCGCTGGTTAGTGCGTAATGGTCTCAATGAAGCCGTAGTCGGTGCGATGAGTTAAGAAAAGGAGAATGTTAACTCTCGGTTTGCTACACGATCGATTCACGACAGCACAGCAGCCACACAGAGAAAGAGAGTGAACAGTACATGCATCTGGAAAATTATATACACATAGAGCGCATGGAGCGCAAACAGGTAACCAGAAAACCAAGTATATCTCCACAAATGTTAACAAATGTATCATGTCATTACAAACTCAATTTGTGGTTACTTTTTGACCACAACTTAATGTCATTCACAGTGATTGATTTAAATAACATAATAATAAAGTCAATTGTTTATTTGTTCTCCGAGCTTGGCGGTTTTCTCGCAAACGTTTCACCACCATGCGAGGTGGCATCCTCAGTGCAGTGATATGTAGCGTACAAGCGTACAAATTTAGTAAGCTTGTACGCTACATATCACTGCACTGAGGATGCCACCTCGCATGGTGGTGAAACGTTTGCGAGAAAACCGCCAAGCTCGGAGAACAAATGAACAATTGATTCATCAACCCGAGCTACCGGTATTTCGAATCATTTTAGATAATAATAAAGTGTCAGCTGTACGTCGAAATTTTTACGGCATTCAATCCTGCTATACTTAATTGTCAGTTTCAGAGGGTGACCTCTTAGTTTAGTACTGTGGTTCAATTCCAGCAGCGGACGGCAAATGCGATTTGGGTTCTTCAGAATCTGGTAAACCATTATGAGATTCCCCCCGCAAGAGCCCATATCTACTGCTGAACATTCTTAGAGATTTCAGTCTAAGCTGATAAGGCAGATTAAAGAGGCCCCTGACGTTCTTGGTTGCCATTCGCTGAGGAGTCTCGAGAGCAGCGAGATCCTGTTTCTGCCACGGCTGCCACGCCTGCATAGCATATTCCACTTGCGGTCCCACGTAAGTGTTAAGCATTTGGGGAAAGATTGAGGGTTCAAACCAACCGAATGCTCTGCGAAGATGGCCGAACTGTTGATTGCCGGTTCTCGTCGCCTTCTCTACTTGTTTTGAACACCAGAGATTTTCCTGTACCAGTACACCCAGGTCACGCTCCTGAGCGGCCTTCTGCAAGGTGTGGTCTCCAAGCTTGTAAGCGCTCACTGGCTGGTGACACACGTAGCTATGCACTTAGCTATGTTCAAGTTTTGTGAAGTGTCTCAAGGCTTAAACAGCTATGCACAAACTGCACGCTCAACCCTGTCACGGGTTGGACAGCAACATTTGACCCCCACAAACAGCACAACAAACGGCATTCCGCGTATGCAGTCATGCAGCAGCGCAGACTCTCCCTGCACAAGGGACAAGATGAGTACTCAAACTAGACAAATGTCCACCAGTAACAACTCTCAGGATAAGCAGTTAGTGTACAACAAAAAGCTCTGAGAATTAAGGGTTTCAAATGTACCAGAGCCCACGAGCGAGTCGTTAAAAGGTAGACAAGTGGAAGAACAAAACCGCTGGGCAGAGATATGCTGTGCTCTCGAAATTAACGTTCCTCCAACTAGTCTTACGCGCATTTCCCGAAATTCATCCTCGCCACATTTAGGACAACCTCGGTTATTACGAGTAACATTTGGTAACACACGCGACCTGGAGGATGTGCTCCTGACAGGTCACAAGCTAACGAATTCCTCTCTCAGCGCCCGCATTTTCCCAGATAAACCATAGATAGAAATGCAAAAATGAAAATCCGACCCAGTCGCGTCACGACATGATGCGACAAAGAAAGTAGTGCTGGTCCACGGTGTTCCAGAACTTAAGCATGGCGATATAAATGAACATCAGAAGCACGATATAGAAGAGTGGAGGTACATAACGGAGCTCTACAACATATAAAATATCGTGACTTTCGATGTCACCCGTCTAGCGGCCTCAATAAACTATCAGGGTAAGGGGGCTAAAATTTTGAAAGTCACCGTGGCTACATCTGAGATGGTATCAACGGTCGTCCAAGCGTGGCACAACAACAGAAAACGTGAGCCACCTGAAGTACGTTTAAGACCGTTCCTAAACAAAGTACGGGCCACAGATGCAGACGAACCGGACTCGGTTGTTCCTAACTCAGGTCAGACAAATGTGCAAACGCCACTGACAAAAAATGTAAGCAGACCGGCACAATCCGTGCCGGTCAACCGCAACGAAGCGAGCTCCTAATGTGTCAACAGATACAGTGTTGCTACACAAACGCTCAGGGGCTCAACTCTAAGCTACCTGAATTGCGCTATCGACATAACCCAATCAACTGGGATATCATAGCTGTAACTGAAACCTGGCTCTCCAATGACATGCTCGACACGGAAATCGAAATCAGTGATATGTCAGTTATTCGCAATGATCGTCCATCTCGCGGTGGCGGCGTTGCGCTGTACTATCGGAATTGTCTGAGATATGAGGCTATTAACGAATGTCACCTTGCTGTCTCCGACGCTTTGTTTTGCCGAATGCGGCTAAATGGCAGAGGTGGTGAACGTTCGAAGAAGACGTGGGATGCTTGTCTGTTGGCAGTTGTCTACAGGCCACCGAACTCCACCGCAGACCGAGATGACATTCTGTTAAACGCGCTTCATTATGCAGTTTCTAAAAAGTACTCACATTGTCTAATCATGGGCGATTTTAATGTGCCCTCAATTGTCTCAGTGACTTCTAGTGGTCCTTACTTCAAATCAATGATTCTCGAGTTTATGGATACAGCAGCTCTGTACAACCACGTGCACCGACCAACTAGACACCGCGGTTCAAATAAGCCATCGCTTCTGGATTTAATCCTAACCAACGAAGAGTTGATGATTGAGACAATTTCATACGATCCACCATTAGGTAACAGTGACCACTCAGTGTTAAATTTTGCCTATGTGTGTTACGCTAATACTACTGAAATCAGACATGAAAACCGACGAACTATAACCAACTATTCCGTGCTTCACAGCCTTGCGACAACCGTCAACTGGGACTTCAATCTGCGGAGCATGGCAGACGACGCGTGGAACGAACTAAAAGACAAAATTAGCTGTCACGCAAGCAGCCTCTAAAGTCATACCATTACGAGTGTCGCGCCGGACCAACACCTGGATCCGAAGCAGAACGCGTAAATGGATTAGCACCAGAGACGAGATTTGGAGACAATACGCGCTGAACAATTGCGACGCCACGTGGGAGAATTACAAAATAGTGAGGAACTATTGCACATCACTGATTAGAGCCGATAAGTACGAATGGCAAAAAAACATGGTACTTAAATTCACGAACAATACAAAACTGCTGTACAGGTAAGTGAACAGCAGAAGGAAAGTTAAAACAGGAATACCACCACTCAAGACAGATGGTGGCCTAAAGACTACTGCTGTGGATGCTGCGAACGCATTACTTCTGCAGTTTGGCACAATGATTGCAAATACCATAGAACCCTTGCCAAACCAGCATTCACTCAACGTGGTCGGCATATCAACTGTCACTTTTACCTCAGCAGCTGTCGCTAGCAAATTACGGTTTCTAAGAGCAAATAGCGCTCCGGGAGTCGACAAGATCAGACCCAAAGTTCTTAAAACTCTTGCTCCCACCATAGCAGCACACCTCGCAAGCTTTTCCCAAAGTCTACTCAAATCCCAAACACTTCCGTCTGAGTGGAAAAGCGGGATAGTCACTCCGATATACAAAGGAGGTAAGCGATCGGATCCTGCCAACTACCGACCCATTAATCTCCTCCCTGTTTTATCAAAAGTAATGGAATCGTTAGTTGCAGATGAAATTACACGATATTTTGAGAGTCTGAAGCTAATTTCTCACCTCCAACACGGCTTTAGGCGCAACGATCTTGCCTCACAAATCTGCTCCTTGCTCGGGATTCATGGACCAAAGGGCTTGATGAGGGACCCCCCCCCTTGATGTGATTTACCTAGACTTTTCGAAGGCATTCGACAGAGTCAATCACTTGGCTCTGCTTCATAAGCTTCGTGCTACGGTATCCATGGTTCCCTACTCACCTGGCTAGCAGCATATTTGCATGACAGAACGATCAAAGTCAGAGTCGCCGGTGTCCTCTAGGAAACCCTCTGCATCTCCAGCGGTGTTCCTCAAGGACCCGTCCTTGGTCCCCTCCTTTTTCTGGTCTACATTAACGACCTCCAGGATAATATTCAATCCTCGATGCAAATTTTTGCAGATGACGCAAAAATCTGGAGAGTTATTCGCTCAACATCAGACTGTGCCCTCCTCCAGAATGACTTGGATCGAATCAACAAATGGGCAGATATAAACCACCTCCCCCTGAATCATGCCAAGTGCCACCTACTGTCATTGCGCAGGAATTTTACCAACACGTATCTCTTGGGGCAGTAGGTTTTACGGCGCGTGACCACAGAAAGAGACTTAGGTATCATTGTGCAAGAAAGTCTGGGGGATTCGCTCCAATGTTCGAAAGCTTCAAACGTGGCGAACACGAATCTGAGACTTTTGAGACGAGCTTTTGGTGTTTTTGAACGACGGTTGGTACCCATGCTTGTCAACGACTATATCCGTCCCCACGTCGAATATGCCGACCAAGCTTGGTGCCCATGGTTAAAACGGGACATTCATCTCTTAGAGCAGCCCCAACGAAGTGCTACGAAGGCAACACGCGGATTATCTGGTCTCAATTATGAAGTGCGTCTCAGTTTAATCGGAATGTTTTCCTCCAAATACTGGCGACTACGCGGAGATCTCATTCTCGCATACCGGATATTAATAGAAACCGAGCACCCGTGCAAATCGCTGCTCACCCTAGCCTCATATAAGCGATCGAGAGGTCATAACCTCAAGCTGATAATCCAACACTCCCGATTAGACTGTAGAAAATATTTTTACTCTCTTAGAATCTGTTCACAATGGAATGACTTGCCAACGCATGTGGTAAACGCTTCGAACATTACAGC